AACGAAATTATCAGTTTAATGAATGTTCATACAAATCATCGGACTTAAGGCGTGTATTATTATTTAAATATCTCCAATACATTTTTTATCCCGCCAAGCTCACGTTCCGTTTGGTGCGTAGTGGCTATCGAAGCCCATAGACACAAAAAAGTCCGTTACCGTCTGCTTTGAAAGATCGATAATAAATCTCGATTGTTTTAAAATAGCTATACAATTGGAGTGAAATAACAATCCAGTTAACCTAAAAAAATTGGTTTCCATGACACAACGAGCATAAATATTATTAGCGCCACTCTACATATTATGGTATATTATATGCCACTAATTTGTATGTAACAGAATCTTTGAACGTCATTTTCAAACTTCAACAGGTCCAATTTAATTGAAAATTTGCATGTGCAACAAGAATCCTTGGATTCTCTAAGGAATAACGTCATTAATTATTATTTTATATGACGTAACTAGCACTACACAGGCGATTTTGTGCTGAATTCAACCAATTTATAATAAAAAAAACGATAATTAAAAAGTATGACTACAATAAATTAAAAGTCAATCATGTTTCTGTTCACTCTAACTCAGTGTAGCGTGATGAAATGCGATCAACAATGTTAGCGATACAGATTAAAAAACTCTCACTATTTTGCACCACTACTGACACACTCGAATGAGCTAGAGTAATATAATCCGACTGCCGGTTTGGCTCTGGTATTAAAAGCGTTTTCTTATAATATAATAATAATATTGTATAAGGAAAATAGAAAATGATTTGGTATACATATATTGAATCAAATACAGAAATTGATTTAACAGAAATGCTTGGCACACAATGTATGGCAGCGCGAAATTCGTTATGCAGAAATACATAATTTCGAAAATCTTATACCACTAGTTTGTCTTCGAATACAATAATGTAGCATCGACTTTATCGAAAAAAAAAGGAAGTTCTAAGTCCTACTTCGAAATGATTACTTCTATTTTATCTCATTTAAAATATTTTCATAGAACGGGCCCGTTTTAATTACTGAAATAAAAATAATTAAAATATCGATTTACAATTCTTCAATAAGGTAAAGAGCACACAAGCGCTTACCTCCTCGCTTCAATCTTTCACATCATTTATGCTTTCAAAACCTTCAATGATTAATGGTGGTAGGACTTCTTGTGAATCCACACGGGTAGGTACCACAACACTGCCTATTTCTGCCGTTGCACTAATGCGTTTCGGTTTGAAGGGTAGGGCAGCCGTTGTAACTACACTGATACCTTAAAAGTGATATCTCAAGGTAGGCGGAGGCATTGACGTTGTAGATGTTTATGGGCTCCGGTAATCACTTAACACCGTGGGCCGTGAGCTCGTCCAGCCACCTAAGCAATAAATAAAATTAAAAATTGTATTAAAGTTTAATTAATAGCGATATTTGGGGTGTATATGGATTTGCTCTCAAGGTGAAACAGCTAAAACTACAAGCCTAATTGAAAGCGAAACATAAACGAGCTTATTGGTAGCTTCAATAAAGTCAGATTACCAAGTCGGCGGACACTCCGTGCTTTCTGCGAATAAAGCTTGCATCACCGTGGAGCATCCATCAGCTGACTTGACTTAAACTTTCACAAAATACAAACCACTTAAACTAACAAATATTTACTCTCAACTTGATAAGTAAACACTTATTTGCGTTCAGATTTAGGATTGAAGTCCGAGAGTTACTTGTATAGCATTGTTAATGGCTTCACCGTAGGCTTTTCGCCGCGCTCCTACCAACTAATTTTCCTGGATATCGGCTAAGTGGTATCCGATTGATTAGAAACGATTTTTCTGTTAACGATTTTCTAGGTCATTTTTTAGACCTTAATAGGATGACAATGCAAGAAAATACGAGAAAAAGATACATATCAAATTGAATAGCTCTCTTTTGGGCGTCAGTTGACTAAAAACCATAAAAAAACCTGTATTACAGTCTTGTTACGTTGCTTCTGAAATACACTACGTCATTGCCAACCCGGTTTTATTCGTTCACATCGTGATGATAGATTTACAATGTTAGCGTTGCTAGGCGCACAGAACTACTGACACACTCCGCTTCTTAGTAATTTCAAACTATTCTATAACTAGTGCTGCTGGAACGAATACATGACAGACATTTGATAAATAGTCCATAAATCGTCAATATTAACTGCTTTCTTTAAAGGTTGATTTGTGAAACGGTTTTATTTGCTGATCAAATCTAACGAAGATAACGATGCCTATTCTTTTAGGTATTTTTTTCTTATTTCCCTTTGTAGGCAGACGAGCATATGGCTCGCATGAAGGTGAGTGGTTACAGTTGCCCATGGACGTCAGCAATGCCGGGGTCAAGAGTCAAGCCGCTGTCTACCATTAAGTGCTCTCCACAGGCCTCGTTTGAAGAAATCTAAAATGAATTTACCAATTGAGCTCATCTTTCCGTCTGAGCTATAAAAACGGTAATAATCTAATCTATTAACGTACGCAGGAATAATGAATGCATACATTAAACAAATAAATGTTCGCATTGAAGTCGTCGTGGCCTAAAAGATAAGACGTCCGGTGCATTCGTGTTGAAGCGATGCACCGGTGTTCGAATCTCACAGGCGGGTACCAATTTTTCTATTGAAATACGTACTCAACAAATGTTCACGATTGACTTCCACGGTGAAGGAATAACATCGTGTAATAAAAGTGAAACCCGCAAAATTATAATTTGCGTAATTACTGGTGGTAGGNGAAGTCGTCGTGGCCTAAAAGATAAGACGTCCGGTGCATTCGTGTTGAAGCGATGCACCGGTGTTCGAATCTCACAGGCGGGTACCAATTTTTCTATTGAAATACGTACTCAACAAATGTTCACGATTGACTTCCACGGTGAAGGAATAACATCGTGTAATAAAAGTGAAACCCGCAAAATTATAATTTGCGTAATTACTGGTGGTAGGACCTGTTGTAAGTCTGCGCGGGTAGGTACCACCGCCCTGCCTATTTCTGCCGTGAAGCAGTAATGCGTTTCGGTTTGAAGGGTGGGGCAGCCGTTGTGACTATACTGAGACCTTACAACTTATATCTCAAGGTGGGTGGCGCATTTACGTTGTAGATGTCTATGGGCTCCAGTAACCACTTAACACCGGGTGGGCTGTAAGCTCGTCCAACCATCTAAGCAATAAAAAAAAAAAAAAAAGCATGTATCATAATGTGAAAACTTTTCTAAAATACATCAAACCGCCAACTTCCTGCGGCATTGCGTTACAGTGTTTTACATTACTTGCCCGCATACCGAGTTGTACGAGTGAAAATGTATGGAAATCGCTAAATTATAATAACAAATCCACAATGCTTTTTGTTCAATAAAAAGAAATAAAAACAAGCCGTGATTTCCGTCTTTTTGCATCAACCGCAGAGATGAAGTGAAATTGAAGTTTGATGATGTTTTTTTTTGTAATTTGGCACACGAACACTGGGAGAAAGATACAATAATTGTTTTAGTATTTACTGCAGAGACTGTGTTACTTTTTCAAGTAAGCAACTGTTATTTGTAGTCAGCGTGAGTAAATAAATCTTGTTTCTCATTGATTAATATGTCGTTTTTTTATTAAATAGAAACATTCGCCATTTTGTTTTTAAACTAAATATTATATTAGTTTTGTTGTTTGAAATAGAATAAATTGTGTTGAATCTAAAAGTTGTTTTAATTGTTCCCTTCGATTTTTAGTTCGATAATATTGCGATACTCGTTAACGCGAAAATCATTAGAACGATACAGGATGACGTTTTGGTGTTTGCCAACTTTAATGTGCTTTAGCTGAATACGGATTAAAAGAAAAACAATTTATCTTCCTTTTGCCAAACAATTCGTGAAACAAGTGTAAAATACTTTAGGTTTTTTAAACAATAGTCATAATGGGACCAAGATAAGTGATATAGCTGTGATTTTGACGTATCTAGTACTCATCATTACGCTTCTGTTAGAATGAACACTTTTTGCTAAGACGTCATTTTAGTGTCAACTCGGAAGTGGGCTACCTTAATACGTTCCTCGGAGATTGTTTGAAAAAACTTGAGAATGTAATTGAATAGCGAATCTCGAAGAAAAAACGTGCCAATATACAATTAACGATCTGTGGTCTTGGCTGTCGATTTTAATATTTTGATTCTCGTGCCGATTAGAGATGAAAAACCGTTTTTTTTACACAAATGAATGGGATCGTTTGCGGAATCATTAATCATGAGTTTGTATAAATACGTGTTTATATGTAAGAGACCCTGGTAATATGGCCTTTTAATAAAAAATTTGTTGGAAACGAAATATTCTTTCTTATTAAATGTTATTGTTGATACTTGTCCGCCAAATTTACGTGTATTCGTCATCATATATAAGAACGTTACATCAAGAATTATGAGTATACCGAAAAGCAATTAAAGTTAATTTGAAATTTGTTGATTTTGATCTTAAATTTTCTTCAATGAATCTTTATAAAATTAGAGATTCACAAATAGATCATTTACTAACAATTCGTTGTTTTAAAATTGAATAATATGGATTGCATACCCGACAGCTTTAAGTGGCAATTATAAAATTTAGTATTTCAATAATTTCGCGACATAAAAGCTCTAACAGCGTGTGACATAGCTTTCAATTAAATTTATATTAGAGGTTGATATTTTCGTCAAATTTAAATGGCGATTCGCGGATTTACTACTGAAGCTATGCCGGGGAGATGCGGTCAGAGCACACGTGTTGCTGCGAAGAAGCCGGCGCGACGCTCCGGCGATTTCGTGCACTTTTTCTGCAAGTGACGACTCAGATTTCTAAATAATTTAAATATGAGCACGCATTAACGCGAGCAGCGTATTAATTGCCATTCAGAATTGGGTCTGCATGTACGCAGTCTCGTGTTTCTCCCGTCGGGCCGCGAGTGCTGTGTAAACACGAACTTACGAAAACTAGGCCTAAAACGTTGAACAACAAGAGATAACGTAAACTTACGACTGTCGCTTCCCAATCACGGTATCCGATCGGTACACAAAACCATGTCACTGTCACAAGATTATTTATGATTCACTGGACTCGCGTTGGTTTCGCGAGCGTGCGGAGTGGCTAGGCTGGGTCGGCGTGCAAACGTCGCCGGCGCGGGAGTTCGACTGACAATCAATGAGCATGCGCGCGCGGCACAGCGGACCACTCCAAGCGACGCGACGGTCGCCCAGCGGACGGGAAACGAAATCGCATAAGTAAAATTGTTGCAACTCGAACATCTAACGAGCGACCGTAAACGGAAAAGTTGTCTAATCTCGTGCGCTAATAATTGATCATACTTAATCTCGCTCGGCGAGATAATAAATCGTGCTGTGTCGATCTGACATAGCATATACTTTCTAGTGAGCTGGACTCGATTTGCACCCGAGACGTTCTAGAAAACTCAAGTTCGACGCTAAATCGGAAGTAGGATAAGCCTTCGACATTTATCAAGTGAAGCACTACTCGATGTATTTACGAGCTAATTTATTCAAAATTCTTTCCTGAACCTCACACATCTTTCTTAACCCTCACTCCTCAATTTACCTAAAAAACTATACATTATGTACTTAGTTAGACAACTCATATTATATGCATCGCACGATCTGTCAGTAGATTCGCGGCTACAAAATGATTGAACTAATTCACTCTCTCATCATTCAAGCTCACTTTTAGGTCAGTATTCCTTTTCCTAAGCCTCACAACTCAATTTACCTAAATGCGTATACATATTTATGTACTTAGTTAGACAACTCATAATATATCCATCTTACGGTCCGTCAGTAAATTCGCGGTCACAAAATGATTAAACTAATTCACTCTCTCAACATTCAGGCTCACTTTATGGTCAGTATTCCCAAGAGTTCCATCTTCAGATCGAGTCAAAGTAAATTGCTTATTGGCATTAAACAGTACATAAACCGTAATACAAATGCCACGATCCACTTTTTCTTCTTTTGAGTAAGCCGGTGAAAACGACAAATTTTTACTCACGGCATAATAATTTATAGCTTCATTTTACTACTAAATGTCTGGGCTAATCCTTCTTTAAGAAACTAGTATGGTAAAAAATCTTTGGAACTCGGATCGCGGAGGAAAATGACTAATATATTAGAAACACATTCCAAGTAAGTCTTAACTTGTTCAAAACTCCTTCAGCCCTTATGAATGAGCCTTATATGACCTCTAGGCCTATAGGGTTTCTCTGTATTTCATGCCATATATCCGAGGATGTATATATGGGCAGTTCTCTGAGTAATATTTTGAGAATACCCTGTGATTTATCCAACCATACTATCTAGAACTACTGTATTCATCCACAGTGCTTTGCCAGATATCTGCTTTTGCCTAGCACTATCCAATATCGGCATGAACTTCCATCTACAGTATTTCTCAAGCGCTATAACATGTCTTCCTTCAAACGAGGCTTGCGAAGAGTACTCAACGGTGGCCACTGTAACCCTTGCATTACTGACATCCATGAACGACTTAAGCTATCAGGTGGAACGTGCGTTCAACTACCTGTAATAGTAATAAAAAATTAAAATATCAATATCACTTTAATAATATGAAAAGGTAATATGGGCGTCCTAAAAAGACTTGGATGAACTGTCTGAGAGAGTCGAGTGTGAGTGCAGTAATGACGTATGATAGGCCTGAATGGAGATAGAGAACATGCTGTGGCGACCTCATATAGTAGAATAAGAGCAAGAAGAAGAAGAAAATTCAATTAATTCTCATATGCGTTCTGGTGATGAATATGATTGACAGGCTTTAGATTACGGTCTTCACACGTGAAATCATAATAATGGGTTAACGAAAGTGCAGAAGCTTGTCTGAATTACGAGTCGAGCCCCCCTGGCCCAATGACCGGGAAGTCAAATTATTAATAATCATAATAGATGCCTTTAGGTTCAGGCTAGCTCCCTAGCTCGATCATCGGGGAGGGAAGTTATTGATAATAATAATAGATGCCTTTAGGTTCGTTGAATCACTGGAAGTTATTATTAAGCTCGGTTCAAGATATTTTAGCCTATTTTAGCCCTAAGCGGTAGGCAGCGGCTCAGCTGGGCGTCGGCATCGCTAATCTCCAAGCAACGGTAATCACTCACTGGCAAGCGAGCTGTATGCTCCTCTAACTTTAAATCCAATCAAAAAAAATAGAAAATTCAATTTGTACACTGTCTGAACCTTATTGCGCACACGCACAGCTCGCGTTGATGTCTTTTGTGCTTGAATGTAGAGAAAATTCAGTATTTAGATTTCGACACGTGCGCTACTTATTTGAAAATATTTATTTTGCCTTTTATGTAGTTTTTGTCTGTTTGTTGCCGTCTAGAGAGCAATATTTGAAACATTTATTTACATGAACACTCTTGTGAAACTCAACTATCCAGGGATCCACTAAATCTTGCACATCAAAACCTCAAAATCGGTCCAGCCCTTTAGGAAGAGTTCAATAACAAACAAACGTACAGAAGAATTAACTGTGATAACACTAATATTATAAATGTGAAAGCTTATACAAATGGTTTTGATATATTTTGCTCTATCGCCCAAAAATGAATTTAAAAAGGTATTTGGATGAAATTTCGTAGAAGATAGCTTAAAATCTAGATTAACCGGAAAATGACAAGACCTGGGTAACTCCGGGTATCTTTACTATCCGGTTTTACATAACGGGTATGTTCCCAGGATTCATGATAGAGGAAAATTTCTAAGGAAGAATCGATAAATGTAAACCATTCGAAAAAGCTCGTGGTCTAGCTGGTTTTAAAAACTAAAGTCGACAGACACCACAACCCAATTTGAGACATGAGGTCAATGTAGCAGTTGCATTGTTTATCGGATATCTCACGCTTCAAACCGGAACAATTTGAGGAGAAATACAATTGCCTGACCAGTAAAAATTTGATATACACAGAAATGGGCAAAATGGTCACACATACCCGCGTCCTCTTACTACCTATACGATACTACTATGTAAGTATACCACGGAGAGAAGATCTTCCACCGAACGGGTGATATTGCTCGGTAGACCGACGGTCCGAATGTTGTTGTTCGGAACTTGTATATATTATTATGTAAGCTTATCTTGAAAATGTCGTAAGCGAGATTCAGGCATCTGTCAAATATCTTGTGTTGAATGATTAAAGCCACACTACCAGTTCTTCTTCTTCTCAATCGTATCACTCTTGACAGAATGGTCGTGATCGTGTTGAAGGGGGCAAACTTGACGCATCTCATGATGTCCCACCATCTCTCCCTGCTCGAGGCCATTCTATGACACTTATTTAGGGAACCTCCCACTGCAGTTTTAACTTGGTCGATCCACCGCATTTATGACCTACCATACGACTACCAGTTATTGACATAATAACGTTTTGCGAAGCTATTCCTTCGCCACGGAAGGCGCTCGCGAATGAAATTACAACATAAATCAACGACTTTCGTGAATAATTGTAGTGACAGATGTGAGCGCGGATCAAGTCTGTTCGTCCAGTGAAAGTGTTCGTTGAGAGATGAGCGAATTCATCACGCATGTTCGTTATGGTCTTATTGTTCGAAATTAACGTGAATGTGTGTGTGTTTTTCGTTCATACAACTTTAAAGGTACAGAATGAGATACGCTGTTTAAGAATACTGTAATATTGCTCATTGTTTTTAAACTCAACAAAACAAAATTAATTTGTATTTAACACAGAAGGTTATCAATGCGAATGTATTTTTTTTTGGGTGTTACCTCAGGGTTTTTGTCGAGTTAAACCAATTTTGCTGGTTTTATTTTAATTCCCATTTATTCTCATTTAAATGTTATTATAATCTAACCCTAATAAAGCGTATTTATTTATTAAGTTAGTTACCTACTTCGAGTATATTGATGATTTAATATTATATTATTGAAGCGAATACAATGAAAACGAATTTGGAATGAAAGAATTATACCAACACTTTGCGTAAATGATACTGATAGATGCAAAATCAGAATTTTTCAAACAAAAAAGTACATAATATGTATATCGCACAACAACAAAATCACTAATACATCAAAACGGTTTGTTTGCCATATACCCAGACTTAGTTCACAATGTTTTAGATCTATCAAAATCGACTGACAATTGTTGCAGCAGCCATCTATTGATAAACAACGAGAACTTAATTCATAATCAATTCAGTTATTAAGCATCTACAAATCGCTTTAAACTTTCGAGTTTATCTATGTTCATACCCGATCCTGTGGACCGAATGGTAAACAGTCGACGTCGCCCTAAACACGTCACTACGGATCATCCCGATCCATTAAAGGTGCTTTTAGGTACCTCAAGCACCGGTCACCGTCCTCGCCGAACCCGTCACTTGCGACGAAGGGCTCGACGAGTAAATTAACTCATAGACACAGCCCACTGAGTTTCTCGCCGGATCATCTCAGTGGGTCGCGTTCCCGATCCGGTGGTACATTCTGCGAAGCACTGCTCTCGCTTGGGCCAGTGTTAGAAACACTCCGGTTTGAGCCCCGTGAGCTCAGCTCTACACGTCAACGCGAAGCTGAAATAGCCTCTCAAGGCTATCAGCATAGCTAGAAAAAAAAAACTATGTTACACATTATTATTTAACAAATTCTTACTAATGTAGTCCAGTCCTATGGTCGCGACGCTTGCAACGGTGTCGAAATACCGAGAGCCCATGAAATGTTATGAACGTGATAAGAGTCCATTAATTAATAGTGCGTGTCATATGTACGTTTAAAATGGAATGCCAAACGTCATAACAAAATCTGGACCCATCCGACAACAGATAAGCTAGTCGCTTTTGGATAGCGTGCGAGCGTATATGCTTACATGTGTCAGGTTATGCAAGTTTGAGAGACAATAAAGAAAACTTGCACTACGAGCACGCAGCAACACAGCCTAGGCCTAATTACAGCCAAACGGAATGCCAAACGTCAAAACAAAATCCATACCCATACGACCACAGATAATCTAGTCGCTTTTGGATAGCGTGCGAGCGTATATGCTTACATGTGTGTCAGGTTATGCAAGTTTGAGAGACAATAAAGAAAACTTGCACTACGAGCACGCAGCAACACAGCCTAGGCCTAATTAC